TTGAAAGTTATAGAGTGAATGTGTAATAACACCAAAGATGCTGATAACTGTAGAACATCTAGCGATGAAATTTTTTCATCATCGTTATATTTCTGCATAAACAATATAGGTATTTATTCGCTAAATATTTTTTTGTACTAGCATATAATTTTACTTACAAATATTAGATCTAAAACACCATTTGCTACACCACTACCGGATAGAACAATTGATGTTATATTAATGCCATTAACAAAAACTTCTATACCCTATTTTAACAAAAAGAAAACTAAAATAAAACTAATTATTTCAAATGAAAATTAAAACAGCTTACCGCAGTAGCTTTACCAGCTGCCGCCATTGACGTCATAGCGGTCGTGGCACCAGCTGCAGCCACACCTACCGCACCACCCACCATTCCCAGATAACTGCCTCTAGCTTGGCTATCTTTTATACTTATAGACTGTTCATGCTTCGCACGATCAGACAAATTCAATGCTGAAGTTATGGATGTAAACGCCCCAACGCCTAAACCAATTATACCAGCTGCAGCTACAATAGGAGCTGCTACGGGCAAAGCTAAAGCTGCTAAAGGCACGCAAGCTGCTCCAATGCCCACTACCGCTGAACCAGTTTGTGCCATATTCATAAATTTAGCACCTGCTGTCCCACTGGGTGTACAATAGATGTCCAATATAACATCATTATATTTATCAAAGTTATAAATACCATGGCGTGGTGCAATCATTGTACCAGCCGGCAAAACATTTTCATTTACAAAAGATTTCCAGTTCTGATAAACTCTGCCGGTTTCGTCCACATAAATCATACAGCATTTGCTACTATCGGAGTTGTCTTGTTAACAAAAAAAAAAAAAAAAGAAAATAATTTAAGTTATAAAAGTGTTTAGTTATTGATTTCAAAAACCTACTATCGCATTTTTTACAGCGAAATACCGGATGACATGAAAATTCAGTGGATTCGGGTGCAGTGTTGAAATCTTCATCTTTAGTTACCATCACATAAAATATATAAGTAATGGATGAGCGATTTGTGTATTTTCCTAAATAAAAGTAGACACTTGCATTAGTGAAATATGGAAATAATCGAAACAAAAGTTTTAACTTACTTTGAGCCCATACACTTTCGAAAATGGTCATTCTAAGTTTTTCAATTGACTTTTGTCCCTTTTCTTGATCGGGTATTAATTGTTTTATTTTTTCCTTCATAACATCAGCATCATTATATCCCAGGCTAATGAAAAATATATAGAAAAATATGTATTTAAAATATGTATGTATTTATAGTAGATACATACATAGTTTTTAAATTTATTATTTCTATGTGCAGTGCAGTCTAAGGTCTAGTCTATTGACAAGTCGAGTTTATAATCTAGTCTTTAATATAGTCTATTGTCTAGTCTATAGTCTAGTAAATAGTCTAGTCTATAGTCTAGTCAATAATCTAGTTTATAGTCTAGTCTATAGTTTAGTCTATAATCTTGTCTAGTCTATAGTGTATTCCAAGTCTAATCTTATAGTTCAGTCTATAATCTAGTCAATAGCCTAGTCTATAGTCTAGGCTATTGTCTAGTCTATAGTAGAATTTAGAATTTTCTCTATGGAAGTAATGAAAAAGATTATTTTTACTCAGGCATGTCATAGAAGGAATGCGCTTTTTTTTTATTAAAATAAATATATGTTTTATTAATTTAAATAAATATATGTTAAATTAATTTTCAAATGAGTTTGTTGTGCTAAATCATAACAAACAATGCCAATCTGACGTTTTTAGAACAATTTAATTGAAATATTTCGAAAATAAACATTTGTACTTTTTTTTACTCAATTGTACGGCTTTTTTAACTACGATGTAAGTTTTTTGCCGATATCAAATCTGGCAAGCCTAGTATAGACTCTAGAGTCTATGTATCTATAGTTACATATATGGTCTACAAATTATCGATACCCACACTAACACAGTGAAATCGTTTTAAAAAAGTTATTAATCAAAATTATTTGCAATAATCTACATACATTAAGATATAAATGTATATACATTAGGATGGCCCGTTTGTATAGAGAGAAATAAGAAATAGATATAGAGAAAAATTAAAAAAATTTAAAACTTTTGCAATACCACAAACGTGTTTCATACGATATTGAAATCACCTTTTAAAGACTTTCAAATTATACCAAATTTGCGTATATTTTCTTAGCTAGAGAAATATGAAAAATCTAAAAAAGGTCCTTTTTATTCTTTGATCCAGCTCAACAAATATTGATGTCAGGACAAACATTTTAAGAAATTGTATCTTAGAATGAACTAAATTTTTTTTTCGGTGGAAACATCAGCCAAATCTTTAATAGGCTACCCTAATATTAATACACGTATGTATGTACATACATATGTACATATGTATGTATGTAAATATGTATCACGCTACGTATTTTTTGCACTTATTTTAATGTACTAATCATTAGAAAACAATTAATACAGCGTAATAAATAACACAAATAACTTACAGATCCCATATGATTTTATCTTGGAAACCACAATTTTGGGCCAACTCCTGCTGTGCTTCTTTTATTGTTTTTTTACGAGAACTTATTGCCGGCAGTTCTTGTGCTGTAATTTCAATTTCAGGCTCCTCCACAATATTTCTCTCTAAATTACCCACAACATTCTCTTCAGATGGTGGCGGTCGAGATATTCCACTCAATAACTCTTCCAATTGGACGACATTCAAAGTATCAATTGCAACCATTTCAACTATATCGACTTGCTTAGAACCCAATAATGCAATCAAAACATTTTCCATTTCCACACGACTACCTTCTCGAGAGAGCTGGTGTTCCAACATTAATTCTTCGAGTTGTTGCAAGGAAAGCGCTGAAACATCCATAGATTTAACAATGGGAATCTTATCACTTCCAATGTCTTTACGCAATTGTTCCTTTGACATCATACTGTCTACTGTACTACTGATCGTCTGTGGCTGTTGTGATGATATGGGGTTCAATTTATAGACTATTTCTTCCACATGGCCAACAAAGGAGGGGAACCCCAAAAATTATGAAAGAAAAAGAATGGAAGAAATGAAAATTGGTGGTTGTTAATGTTATTGGTTTACTTGGTTAATCAGCTGCCGGGCAGAATAACCAAGTCGATTCAAAATTAACGACGCCGTCAAAGTCTATTTTGCTAGGCGGCTTCGTCAAATTTTATTAACATGCCTTTTCACATACAAAAAACAGAAGTAAGTTTTGGGAATTAGATTATTAGAATTAGAATTAGATTATTGAATTACGATTTCAAAATAAGAATATAATAAATATCAAAAAAAAAAAAAAAAAACAAAATATTTATGTATTCTACTGGATAAAAAACTGAACTTCAATGATCACCTGTCTGCTTTGATCTTGTTTATGAAAAGATAAATAAAATAATAACAAATTTTAACAGAAAATGTGAATTGTCCAGGTATAGTCACATTAATGAACTGCTTTCAGCATAATTTATTCCGCTAACATAATAAGTTCCTAAGCTTTTCATAAGGTTTTTTTAATTTTTTTTTATTTTTTTATTTAATTAAAAACACTTATGTTATAAATAATTTATTTTTTAAAATAACAAAGTTGAAAAGGATTTTAATTTTCCTAACTCTTTAGAAATTAAGAATACTGTAAAGCAACAATTTATAATAAATATATAATTAAATATCAAATGTAGCTGATAATCCTCTGCTTAAAAGTAATATTATTCATTTCAATTTATCAGGATTTAAAAAAATGGATGCTTAAAGAAAATTAGTCACAAAAAATAGTTGAAATTTTTATTTTGAAAATGAGATTTTTTTTGAAATTTAATTTCTTTTAGATTTATTTGCTTTCATTTGATAGCAGCATTACAATCATTCAAGTCGAAAAGTTGAAGGTCGACTATTATCTTCCAAAAATGTCGAAAAGTCGACTTTGTAAATAAAAGTCGAAAAGTTGGAAAAAGTCGGTAAAAGTTGGAAAAAGTCGGAAAAAGTCGTAACAAGTCGAAAAAGGTCGAAGTCCAAATAAGTGGAAAAAAAGTCAAAAACTCTAAAATAGTGGGAAAAGTCAAAAAAAAGTAAAAAATTCTAAATAGTCGGAAAAATTCGAAAATAGTCGGAATAACACGAAAAAAGCCAAAAAACAGTTTAAAAGTCGCCTTTTAAGTTTCAACTATAGAACCCTATTTCTGGTGTGAAAGCATTTTTAAATTATTAACTGTTACAGGGTGTAATGTAAGTAATATACATACAAATTTGTAAGCTTATTTTTTTTAAGTGTAAAATACAACCCTGCTGTTCAACACAGCTCAATAGTGAAATAGAAAAAAACAGGTTCATTCATTCTTTTAAAATTTATTTGTTGTGTTGGAGACTTGGATGAGCAACCCAAAAAGTAATAATAATAAATATTGAAAAATAATGAAAAATCTATTAAAATAAATTAAAAAATACTTGAAAAAACAAAAAAACCTAACAAAGTGTAAGTATTTAAAACGAATAACAAAGGAATTCATATCAAATGTAAACAAATTAAAATTTCCAATACGAATTGGACGCCACACCCTAAATTAAGCCAAGCTTTATACATAGGGGAGTGTCCATTGTAAAAAAGTGTCAATTTAAACTAAAATGAAGAATTATTAAATAAAAAAAAAACTAAATACAAACAATTTTGTAAATTTTTCTTTACTATAGAGATTTCAACCTAAAGGTCTGTAACAAAATAGGTTTTATGGAAAATATACCTAAATGCGTGCTGTGGTTATGGTGAAACGTGTGTCGTCGTCACAATTCATGTTCATGTCAATTTCTTAATGCCTGCTGTTTAGGCATTATATGAAGAAAAGTCTGAGTGTTTGAAAAATAAAGAAATTCACAAGTTTTCCAACTATTTACCACAGTGTCTTGGAAAAATCTCTTTATATTAGTCTTCTGCTTACAAGACTATGTCAACACTCGAAGAACGTACAGCTTACAAAGATAATCCCTTCCTTTACTGGTCATATTTATGGTAATTTTTCACCATTTATGTGACCATAGCTTGTATGTACCGTGTACTCGGTTCGATAATCATTTTAAATATAATCTTTGGTTGCTGTTCGAAACATCGTCAGTATTGGCAGGATAGACATACCGGCAATCGTTGGCTTGTATCCATTTGGTCAGCAACTCCACATAATCAACCACCATTGGATTTTACTGAACTAAAAGACGCTAAATATTTCAAAGTTTACAGGTAAGTTTTTATAAAAAGAAATTACAAAATTAAATTGTACAATCGATTCAAATCAACCTCTGAATCGTTTAATCTATTTCCGTTTATGTGTCCATTTAAATCTTGTGCCCACACTACAGGTCGTAATTTTGGCACATATACACAAGTATCACGATTAAATTCTACATAAATAACTCTACCAAAATTTATTTATCTGTTACCCTTGTCCATATATAACCACTCTTCAGAAAAGCATTATTTTTGTTAATGAATTGTTCAAATATTTCGGAATTAAGAAAATAAATAATACACATATTTAACATACTCACTACTGGTGTAGGGTATCATATGATCGGTCATGCCGGACTATACATTCTTACCTGTTTATTGATTATATTACTTTTGCCACAGCCTGCTCCCCGTCTTTTTAGCGAAGATATTGAAGCCCAAATAGAAGACGTGCCCATACATCATCAGTATCAACAAAGACCCTACCCGCCCCGAAGGCAGAGGTTACATCAGCAAAGACAGCGTGAAGAATACGTTGAATTACATACCAAACGAGAAAGCGATATTTAATTTTTTTTATTTTTGTTTGTTATTTAAAAATGGCTTTTATTATTTTATATCCAGCTGTAGCTGCTTTAGCTTTATTCATTGTGGGTGTTATTATTATAATGTTACGTTTTGGACCACGACTCTGTGGTCTAAGACATCATGCCTTGCCCGACAGTGAAGAGTATCGTGAGCGTGCCTACGATCATGAAATCAGTTATGCTTGATATATATAATTTACAAGTTTTATTTAAATTTTTAAATTATTTCAATACTACTTTATCCCTCCATTTTGTTTTAATGTTTTTTAAGTGCCTTTTTATAAATAAACTATTCTTGTAAGCAGCTTTGTTAGAATTTAAGTGGAAGAGAGCGAAGAAACAGTTTTTTCTTAAGTATTGATATATTATCTGCTTTTATTTAAATGTTTCTCAGCTTTTAAATTAAAATTTTGGCAATTAGTTTTTTTGTTTCAGAATGTTATGAAAGTAATTTTCAATTATGTATTTGTTTTTACTCAATTTTAAAGAAATTTCCTAAGCAGATTGATTCTCTTAAATTCTAATTTGTTTTCAACAACTGCTTATTAGGTATTATTTATCTTAAATGTATTTACATTATTTATATTTGTAGCATTTATATAAAAATCCATTCCGTCCAGTTTAAATTTAACAAAAAAAAATTTTAAACCTTCACAAATTATAGTAGTAAGCCTAACATATCACATTGATTTACATTATGTATTTTTACAAATTTACTAAAATATTTTATATGTATGCCCTATTTGCGGTATATATTTTTATTAAATATATTTTATATGTATTTTACGAATAAAAAATAAAATTATGTACTAAATATAATAATACATACTATAAAATTGTTTATATTATTCTTTCTATCGACAATCGAATGTAATTTGTTTCTCTAGGTAAAGTAAAATCCCAGCAAAACTTGGTAATGAATTGTACTTACATAACCACTTACTTTTCAATGACTACTACTTACCGTCTGCATCATTTTCAAGTACTTTTATAATTACTTACATATAATCTAGGAACTCTTTTTTCGATTCGAATTTAAATGCAGAATAGGGGTGATTGATTACTCTATGTATTACCCTTTTTACTAGCCTATATACTACTATATGGACTACTCTATTGACTTATATATGATTAACACGTGGACTAGACTATTGACTATCTCATAAGGCCTGCACAAGACAACAATAATACGACAATTTGTTAAAAATTTCATCATAAGCACACGAAATTTTTTTTTTAGCAAATTGTCGCATTATTGTTGTCTTGTCCAGGCCTTTTCTATCTAAGTACTGGTCTATGGTCTAGTCTATGGATTATGTAATCTATTGAAGTCTATGGGCTAGTCTATGAATTATTCTATTATCAAGTCTATTGACTAGCCTATGGTCAACTTTATTGCCTCAACTAGTGATCAATCTATTAATAAGTCAATTGTGCGCCATCATAAGCACACGAATTTTTTTTAGCAAATTGTCGCATTATTGTTGTCTTGTCCAGGCCTTTACTATCTAAGTATTGGGGTATGGTCTAGTCTATGGATTATGTAATCTATTGAAGTCTATGGGCTAGTCTATGAATTATTCTATTATCAAGTCTATGGTCAACTTTATTGCCTCAACTAGTGATCAATCTATTAATAAGTCAATTGAATAGCCTATGGACTAACTATACACTTACTAGTCTATAGATAACTCTATATTCTAGTCTAAGCATTATTTTATTCACTAGCCTGTTGACTTTAAGTATAATATATACTAGACTAGTCCATGGAGTAGTCAATGAACTGTAGACTAGATTATATATGATCTACATATGTATATATACTCTATGTACTATTTTATATACTAGTCTATTGACTAAGCTTTTAAGCTATTTACTGATTAGTATATTAAATAATCTATGTATTACACTATTGACTAGTCCTGTGAATTATTCTATCGACTAGTTTTTTTGATTTCTCTGTGGATTGCACTATTGACTAGTATATGGATTATACAATTGATTAGTGTACTGACTGTTCTTTGAACAAGTCTATTGACGTGTCTATGGACACTAAGCAATAGACAAGTGCATAGACCAGACTATTTATAATGGACTTCATTAGTCTATGGACTAAACTATTGAGTTCTTTTCGACTAGTCTATTAACTAGTCTGTGGAATACACCATTGACTAGTCTATAGACTAGTCCTTGGGTTAGTCTATAGATAAGTCTATTGACTAGTCTATAGATAAGTCTATTGACTAGTCTATGGATTAGTTTATTGACAAGTCTATGAATTAGTGTATAGACTGGTCTATTAACTAGTCTATTGTATAGACAAGTAAATAGAGTAGTCTATACACTAGCCAATTGACTGTGAACTTGTCTATTACTAGTCCATGATATAATCCAAGGATTAATCAACTGAACTGTTTATGAATTAGTCTATCAATTAGTTTACTGACTAGTCCATTGACTGGTACTGTGAAATTTTTCGATGCCAAAAAGTACTGACAAAAGTATAGTACTGAAGTTTTGCATGCCTGATATTTTCTCTAAACCTTCTCTTTACTGAGGGTGCAGTCTTCGAATGTCTAATTTTTCTATTTGAGAATTCCATTTACAAAGTCAAACAATTGTAATTCTATTCGAAAGCATCTCTGTACCGAATATATAAAATTTCTTTAAGGCAATTTATAAACAATTATTCACCGTTAGTTTTTTCCCTTTTATCACAGGGAATTTATTATTCAGAATAGACTTGAATATCTTCCGTACTAAAGGAACCGGAAACACATTGAGTGTGAACGTAGCTTAAATGTAAAACAAGTAAGAAAGTATAGTCGGACGTGGCCGACCATATGATACCCTACACCAGTTATGAATATTAAATGTGATTTAGTTTTCATAATAAGCATTTATCTTCATTATTTCCTTGTTCCGATACATTTAAACAATTTATGGATGAAAAACTAATTTTCTGAAAGAGGCTTTATATGGGGCTAGGGCCAAATATGGACCAAGCCCTATAAAATTTTGTGAATATATTTATATTTACATAATATTTTATTGTGCTGAATTTCATCGCGATATTTGTGTTTATAAGTTAATTTGGGACATTCAAGTAATTTTCTGAAGGGGACTTTGTATGGGAGCTAGGGTCAAGTGGGGCCCGATCTTTATGAAATTTGGCAGGGTCATCAAGACTTCTATAATAGTTGTGCCGTATTTAATCGATATATCTGTATATTTAACATAATTATGAGCTCAGAAGCCCTTTTCGGGGGGTTCTATTCTATGGGGGCTAGGTGAAATAATGGACCGATTTTAACCATTTTCAATAGGCTTCGTCCTTGGGTCGAATAAAACGTGCGTGCCATATTTCATCCAATTATCTTGAAAATTGCGACCTATACCTTGCGCACAAGGTTTACATGGACAGCCAGCAAGCCAGACGGACGGACGGACATAGCTTAATCGACTCAGATACTTTAAGGTGGGTCTAGGACGAATATTTTTGTATGTTACAAACATCAGCACAAATCCAATATACCCTCCGCACTAAAGTGGTGTAGGGTATAAATACAACGTTACAAAAACCTTTTTTATATAAAACACACATACTTTCTTTTAGTTTTATTTAATAGTTTATTTAATTTATTTTTCTTGTGTTTTTATTTATACTGGCTTTTAGTTTAGGTTGTCGATAAGTTTATTAAGCAGTTTATTTGTTTTTGCATATAAATTCATAAATTGTGATTGCTTTTAGTATTTGTGGTGTTTTTTTATATATTTTATTTTAATTGTTTGTTTAACTATTTTATAAAATAATAATTATTATGTTTTTTTTTGTCATATTAATAAGAAATATTACTTATATTATTTAACTAAATATATAAAGTTTCAAAATTAACATGCAGTAATAACATTTTTTATATAGAACAAAATTATAAATTCTTTTTCTTTTAATAATTAAAAAAAAAGTATTCAACTGTTGTAAGGGTTGTTTAACACTTTTAATTCTTTTATATTTTTTGCAGTATTATAGATTTTTTTATTAATATTTTAGGGATAATTTCAATTACTAAACAGTTTTGTTTTATTTTGTTTTATAACGTTTTTCTTTATAAAGTTAGTTTAATGTTTATAAATTATTATATAAATGCAAGTTTAACTTGTTTAAATTTTAAATAATTTTTTTTTATATTTTTTTAACTTTAATAAATCATTTGTTTTCTTAATAAGTTAGTAAATTATTTAATAAAATTTTTTTATAAATAAATTAAATTTAAATTTAATTAACTTTTCTTTATAATAATTGTTTTGTTTTTGCAAATAAAAGGCACTTTTAAAGTATTTTTCTTGTTTAAATTTAAAATTTTCAAAACAATTAAATGTCAAAGCTGGGGTTAGACTGTTTAGTGGCTAATTTTTGCTTTCGTATAAAATTTGCAGTAAAAAATTTTTTAAGTTTTTTATTGTTTTTGTGTAAATTTAATTAATTATTGTATAAATTTTCCTTCTAACAGACTTTATAAGGTTTTCTAAAAAGTTTTTTGTTTATTATTTTATATTACTTTTGTTTTGTTTTGTTTTTGTATATGTTTTGTATATGTAGTTATTAATTACTATAGCTAATTAAGGTGACCATGCAAAATTATTTGAAAACCAGAGGGGGATATCTTTATTATATTTCCATTTAAAATTAATGTTTTTGTTAAAAACTTTCTGTTTTGTGTTGCAAATATTTGAAAAGTTTATAAGGTTAAAATTTAGCATTTTTGTCACTTTTAGTTTAGTTCAATTGTTTTAATATGCTTGTATAATGTATAATATTAGACTAACTAGAAAAGCTTATTGGTTTTATATTTTTATATATGTATGTATATATTTTGTATAATAAAAAACATTTTATCAAATTTCTTTATTGGCTAAAAAAATGGGGGTTTCTAATTTATATGAACGCCTCTTACAAAAATCTTATACATTTCATAAATACTTATGTAAACATTACATTTATGTTTAAACATATATGTAATTTAAACATTTCTAAATGATTTTCATATAAAAATTCTTTTCTCTGAATTGTTCAGCTGCATTAGTAAGATTTTAATTTGTTATAAATCTTTTTAGCGACACAATACAATTATTTTTCCTTAGAGTCGTCCTGATTTATACATTTTCTGAATATATCGAAGTAAATTTCTCCTTTTAAATACTTTATGTGTGTGTGTGTTTTTTTGTTTAAATGCTCTAGTTTATGGCTATAAAAAAATTCTGTTTTTAAAATTTATATTTAGTTTAATTTGACCTTTTTGGAATAGATAAAAAAATGTTGAAGTTGTTATTAATAACACAGCCCAATAAAGTTTTAAACCAGAAAACTAAAGTATACTTTTCTAAAGGATTGATTAGCGCTGAATCCGAATTTGACGAATCAGAAATGATGCATCTTATTAGGTTTTCCAGCTTTCGTGTCATGAAGTCAAATTTGAGATGCCATAACAATGCCAAGCAGGCTATAGTTTAGGCTACAGTTTAGTCTATAGTATAGTCTATTGTCTTGTCTATAGTCTAGTCTATAGTCTAGTCTATAGTCTAGTCTAGTCTATAGTATAGTCTATAGTCTAGTCTATAGTCTAGTCTAGTCTATAGTCTAGTCTATAGTCTAGTCTATAGTCTAGTCTATAGTCTAGTCTATAGTCTAGTCTATAGTCTAGTCTATAGTCTAGTCTATAGTCTAGTCTATAGTCTAGTCTATAGTCTAGTCTATAGTCTAGTCTATAGTCTAGTCTATAGTCTAGTCTATAGTCTAGTCTATAGTCTAGTCTATAGTCTAGTCTATAGTCTAGTCTATAGTCTAGTCTATAGTCTAGTCTATAGTCTAGTCTATAGTCTAGACTATAGACTAGACTATAGACTAGACTAGACTACTAGACTATAGACTATAGACTAGACTAGACTATAGACTAGACTATAGACTAGACTATAGACTAGACTATAGACTAGACTAGACTATAGACTAGACTATAGACTAGACTATAGTCTAGTCTATAGTCTAGTCTAGTCTATAGTCCAGTCTATAGTCTAGTCTACAGTCTTGTCTATACTCTAGTATAGTCTATAATCTAGTCTAGTCTACAGTCTAACTAGTCTATAGCCTAGTCTATAGTCTAATCTATAGTCTAGTCTATAGCCTAATCTATAGTCTAGTCTAGTCTATAGTATAGTCTATAGTATAGTCTATAGTCTAGTCTATAGTCTAGTCTATAGTCTAGTCTATAGTCTAGTCTATAGTCTAGTCTATAGTCTAGTCTATAGTCTAGTCTATAGTCTAGTCTATAGTCTAGTCTATAGTCTAGTCTAGTCTATAGTCTAGTCTATAGTCTGGTCTATAGTCTAGTCTAGTCTATAGTCTGGTCTATAGTCTAGTCTATAGTCTGGTCTATAGTCTAGGTCTATAGTCTGGTCTATAGTCTAGTCTATAGTCCTAGTCTATAGTCTAGTCTATAGTCTAGTCTATAGTCTAGTCTATAGTCTAGTCTATAGTCTAGTCTATAGTCTAGTCTATAGTCTAGTCTATAGTCTAGTCTATAGTCTATCTTAGTCTAGTCTATAGTCTAGTCTATAGTCTAGTCTATAGTCTAGTCTATAGTCTAGTCTATAGTCTAGTCTATAGTCTAGGTCTATAGTCTAGGTCTATAGTCTGGTCTATAGTCAGTCTATAGTCTAGTCATAGTCCTAGTCTATAGTCTAGTCTATAGTCCTAGTCCATAGTCTAGTCTATAGTCTAGTCTATAGTCTAGTCTATAGTCTAGTCTATAGTCTAGTCTATAGTCTAGTCTATAGTCTAGTCTATAGTCTAGGTCTATAGTCTAGTCTACTAGTCTATAGTCTAGTCTATAGTCTAGTCTATAGTCTAGTCTATAGTCTAGTCTATAGTCTAGTCTATAGTCTAGTCCATAGTCTAGTCTATAGTCTAGTCTATAGTCTAGTCTGTAGTCTAGTCTATAGTCTAGTCTATAGTCTAGTCTATAGTCTAGTCTATAGTCTAGTCTATAGTCTAGTCTATAGTCTAGTCTATAGTCTAGTCTATAGTCTAGTCTATAGTCTAGTCTATAGTCTAGTCTATAGTCTAGTCTATAGTCTAGTCTATAGTCTAGTCTATAGTCTAGTCTATAGACTAGTCTATAGTCTAGTCTATAGTCTAGTCTATAGTCTAGTCATAGTCTAGTCTATAGTCTAATCTATAGTCTAGTCTATAGTCTAGTCCATAGTCTAGTCTATAGTCTAGTCTATAGTCTAGTCTATAGTCTAGTCTATAGTCTAGTCTATAGTCTAGTCTATAGTCTAGTCTATAGTCTAGTCTATAGTCTAGTCTATAGTCTAGTCTACTAGTCCTAGTCTATAGTCTAGGTCTATAGTCTAGTCTATAGTCTAGTCTATAGTCTAGCCTATAGTCTAGTCTATAGTCTAGTCTATAGTCTAGTCTATTGTCTAGTCTATAGTCTAGTCTATAGTCTAGTCTATAGTCTAGTCTTAGTCTAGTCCTATAGTCTAGTCTAGAGTCCTAGTCTATAGTCTAGTCTATAGTCTAGTCTATAGTCTAGTCTATAGTCTAGTCTATAGTCCTAGTCTATAGTCTAGTCTATAGTCTAGTCTATAGTCTAGTCTATAGTCTAGTCTTATATTCTATCTATAGTCTAGTCTATAGTCTAGTCTATAGTCTAGTCTATTGTCTAGTCTATAGTCTAGTCCTATTGTCTAGTCTATAGTCTAGTCTATGTCTAGTCTATAGTCCTAGTCTATAGTCTAGTCTATAGTCTAGTCTATAGTCTAGTCTATAGTCTAGTCTAGTCTATATAGTCTAGTCTATAGTCTAGTCTATAGTCTACAGTCTAGACTATAGTCTAGTCTATAGTATAGTCTATAGTATAGTATGGTCTATAGTCTAGTCTATACTGCTCTAACCTTTAAAAAAGTATACTTTGATCTCTGGATTTCGATTTTTTCAAATTTTGTTGGCCAGTGTTATTTTTTCGTTAAATACCTCAACTTACTTGAGACTTAAAAAAAAATATTTACCAAATATTCAAAATTTCATTTTTTTTTTTTTTTAAATTTGGCCATAAATCCTGTACAAAATTTGTTACAAAAAATTCATTACACAATAACTTAAATATAAATTCATTTAATTTGTTTTTCAAATCATTTATTTAAATAAAAAATTTTAAAAAATATTCTTTCTTTTAGTTACATATTTTGCAAATAATTTTGTTTAAATATAGATTTTGATTTTATAAATTAAAGCTGCTCAAAATATACAATTCTTGTTATTAGTAGTAATATAAAATTGGTCTTATTTCATATTCATTTAATGTATGTATGTATTGTATATATATGTATGTAAGTAGTATATTTGTATATATATAAAAAAACTTCATATTTCTTTACTAGCAAGAAATAAAAAAAAAAAAAAAATAAAAAAAAACATATTATTAAATTAAAACAAATTTTCAAAATTGCAATTTTGAAATCGAAACCCTGATTACATTTTAATAATAATTTTTAAAAAACAATTGTTAGATAAGAATACTTCTTCTGTTAAAATACATGATTTAGTAAATAATAATAGAAATTTTGTTGTTGTGTTCGTTCATCTTCCTTGGAGTGCGCATCAAACACCTCCTCCATGTATTTGCGATTTATGTTTAATAGTATTTTTATTGTTGTTATTATTATTTTCGTTGTTATTGCTACTTTTATTATCATCGAAAAAGACATTTGTGAATATTATAAATACAAGAGCTAAATAGACGCATAATATTATAATAACAGCAATATGATTTGTACAACAACAACAACTTTGTTTAGTTGACAAATTAATTAATGCTACTACCTTGACGTAAATTACTACGTGACGTAGCCATCAAATTACTACGTCGATTGATAAGCGGTGCTGGGGGTCCATTGTTGTTTATTAGTAAAGTATTATTGCTGCTACTGGTGCCGTTGGTGTTATTGTGGTTGTTAAGTTGGCTGTTGCCATGGCCATTTTTAATAGTTTTCTTATTTTTGATGCCATTGCTGACATTGGTGGTGTTCGTGGTATTGTTGTTGTTGTTAACATTATTATTACTATTGGCCTTATTCTTACTGGCAACAGTTGTATTCATTCCCTATTATATAACCGCATTCTCTACATAATTAGCAGGCAACATACCAGGTTTTACCTGTACGTTCCACACGACCAGTCATCCAGCCCGAATCAATTGATTCCACTTCGAATATAATATCACCTTCACGGAAACTAACTTCATCAACATCCTGAGCTTCGTAATCGTATAGAGCACGATAAACCCGCTAAAAGAGAAAATAACAATGAGATCTAGTTGAGTTTTATATAACTTTCAAGTTCTAGTTCAATTCTGTTCTAGAACTAGTTCTAGTTGAGTTCTAGTTAATTTCTAGTTCAGTTCTAGTTCAGTTCTAGATCAGTTCTAGTTCAGTTCTAGTTCAGTTCTAGTTCAGTTCTAATCAGTTCTAGTTCAGTTCTAGTTCAGTTCTAGTTTCAGTTCTAGTTCAGTTCTAGTTCAGTTCTAGTTCAGTTCTAGTTCAGTTCTAGTTCAGTTCTAGTTCAGTTCTAGTTCAGTTCTAGTTCAGTTCTAGTTCAGTTCGAGTTCAGTTCTAGTTCAGTTTCTAGTTCAGTTCTAGCTCAGTTCTAGTTCAGTTGTCTAGTTCAGTGTCTAGCTCAGTTCTAGTTCAGTTCTAGTTCAGTTCTAGTGCAGTTCTAGTTTCAGTTCTAGTTTAGTTCAGTTCTAGTTCATTTCTAGTACAGTTCTAGTTCAGTTCTAGTTCAGTTCTAGTTCAGTTCTAGTTCAGTTCTAGTTGAGTTCTAGTTAAGTTCTAGTTCAGTTCTAGTTCAGTTCTAGTTCAGTTCTAGTTCAGTTCTAGTTCAGTTCTAGTTCAGTTCTAGTTCAGTTCTAGTTCAGTTCTAGTTCAGTTCTAGTTCAGTTCTAGTTCAGTTCTAGTTCAGTTCTAGTTCAGTTCTAGTTCAGTTCTAGTTCAGTTCTAGTTCAGTTCTAGTTCAGTTCTAGTTCAGTTCTAGTTCAGTTCTAGTTCAGTTCTAGTTCAGTTCTAGTTCAGTTCTAGTTCAGTTCTAGTTCAGTTCTAGTTCAGTTCTAGTTCAGTTCTAGTTCAGTTCTAGTTCAGTTCTAGTTCAGTTCTAGTTCAGTTCTAGTTCAGTTCTAGTTCAGTTCTAGTTCAGTTCTAGTTCAGTTCTAATTCAGTTCTAGTTGAGTTCTAGTTGAGTTCTAGTTAAGTTCAGTTCTAGTTCAGTTCTAGTTCAGTTCTAGTTCAGTTCTAGTTCAGTTCTAGTTCAGTTCTAGTTCAGTTCTAGTTCAGTTCTAGTTCAGTTCTAGTTCAGTTCTAGTTCAGTTCTAGTTCAGAGTTCTAGTTCAGTTCTAGTTCAGTTCTAGTTCAGTTCTAGTTCAGTTCTAGTTCAGTTCTAGTTCAGTTCTAGTTCAGTTCTAGTTCAGTTCTAGTTCAGTTCTAGTTCAGTTCTAGTTCAGTTCTAGTTCAGTTCTAGTTCAGTTCTAGTTCAGTTCTAGTTCAGTTCTAGTTCAGTTCTAGTTCAGTTCTAGTTCAGTTCTAGTTCAGTTCTAGTTCAGTTCTAGTTCAGTTCTAGTTCAGTTCTAATTCAGTTCTAGTTCAGTTCTAGTTGAGTTCTAGTTAAGTTCTAGTTCAGTTCTAGTTCAGTTCTAGTTCAGTTCTAGTTCAGTTCTAGTTCAGTTCTAGTTCAGTTCTAGTTCAGTTCTAGTTCAGTTCTAGTTCAGTTCTAGTTCAGTTCTAGTTCAGTTCTAGTTCAGTTCTAGTTCAGTTCTAGTTCAGTTCTAGTTCAGTTCTAGTTCAGTTCTAGTTCAGTTCTAGTTCAGTTCTAGTTCAGTTCTAGTTCAGTTCTAGTTCAGTTCTAGTTCAGTTCTAGTTCAGTTCTAGTTCAGTTCTAGTTCAGTTCTAGTTCAGTTCTAGTTCAGTTCTAGTTCAGTTCTAGTTCAGTTCTAGTTCAGTTCTAGTTCAGTTCTAGTTCAGTTCTAGTTCAGTTCTAGTTAAGTTCTAGTTCAGTTCTAGTTCAGTTCTAGTTCAGTTCTAGTTCAGTTCTAGTTCAGTTCTAGTTCAGTTCTAGTTCAGTTCTAGTTCAGTTCTAGTTCAGTTCTAGTTCAGTTCTAGTTCAGTTCTAGTTCAGTTCTAGTTCAGTTCTAGTTCAGTTCTAGTTCAGTTCTAGTTCAGTTCTAGTTCAGTTCTAGTTCAGTTCTAGTTCAGTTCTAGTTCAGTTCTAGCTCAGTTCTAGTTCAGTTCTAGTTCAGTTCTAGCTCAGTTCTAGTTCAGTTCTAGTTCAGTTCTAGTGCAGTTCTAGTTCAGTTCTAGTTTAGTTCAGTTCTAGTTCATTTCTAGTACAGTTCTAGTTCAGTTCTAGTTCAGTTCTAGTTCAGTTCTAGTTCAGTTCTAGTTCAGTTCTAGTTCAGTTCTAGTTGAGTTCTAGTTAAGTTCTAGTTCAGTTCTAGTTCAGTTCTAGTTCAGTTCTAGTTCAGTTCTAGTTCAGTTCTAGTTCAGTTCTAGTTCAGTTCTAGTTCAGTTCTAGTTCAGTTCTAGTTCAGTTCTAGTTCAGTTCTAGTTCAGTTCTAGTTCAGTTCTAGTTCAGTTCTAGTTCAGTTCTAGTTCAGTTCTAGTTCAGTTCTAGTTCAGTTCTAGTTCAGTTCTAGTTCAGTTCTAGTTCAGTTCTAGTTCAGTTCTAGTTCAGTTCTAGTTCAGTTCTAGTTCAGTTCTAGTTCAGTTCTAGTTCAGTTCTAGTTCAGTTCTAGTTCAGTTCTAGTTCAGTTCTAGTTCAGTTCTAGTTCAGTTCTAATTCAGTTCTAGTTGAGTTCTAGTTGAGTTCTAGTTAAGTTCTAGTTCAGTTCTAGTTCAGTTCTAGTTCAGTTCTAGTTCAGTTCTAGTTCAGTTTAGTTCAGTTCTAGTTCAGTTCTAGTTCAGTTCTAGTTCAGTTCTAGTTCAGTTCTAGTTCAGTTCTAGTTCAGTTCTAGTTCAGTTCTAGTTCAGTTCTAGTTCAGTTCTAGTTCAGTTCTAGTTCAGTTCTAGTTCAGTTCTAGTTCAGTTCTAGTTCAGTTCTAGTTCAGTTCTAGTTCAGTTCTAGTTCAGTTCTAGTTCAGTTCTAGTTCAGTTCTAGTTCAGTTCTAGTTCAGTTCTAGTTCAGTTCTAGTTCAGTTCTAGTTCAGTTCTAGTTCAGTTCTAGTTCAGTTCTAGTTCAGTTCTAATTCAGTTCTAGTTCAGTTCTAGTTGAGTTCTAGTTAAGTTCTAGTTCAGTTCTAGTTCAGTTCTAGTTCAGTTCTAGTTCAGTTCTAGTTCAGTTCTAGTTCAGTTCTAGTTCAGTTCTAGTTCAGTTCTAGTTCAGTTCTAGTTCAGTTCTAGTTCAGTTCTAGTTCAGTTCTAGTTCAGTTCTAGTTCAGTTCTAGTTCAGTTCTAGTTCAGTTCTAGTTCAGTTCTAGTTCAGTTCTAGTTCAGTTCTAGTTCAGTTCTAGTTCAGTTCTAGTTCAGTTCTAGTTCAGTTCTAGTTCAGTTCTAGTTCAGTTCTAGTTCAGTTCTAGTTCAGTTCTAGTTCAGTTCTAGTTCAGTTCTAGTTCAGTTCTAGTTCAGTTCTAGTTCAGTTCTAGTTCAGTTCTAGTTCAGTTCTAGTTCAGTTCTAGTTCAGTTCTAGTTCAGTTCTAGTTCAGTTCTAGTTCAGTTCTAGTTCAGTTCTAGTTCAGTTCTAGTTCAGTTTTAGTTCAGTTTTAGTTCAGTTCTAGTTCAGTTCATTTATAGTTCAGTTCTAAACCGATTCAAGCCCTTTTTAAAAAAATTTTAACTTACCAAACTTTGTTTCGACTGTTTTTGCTGTACACTGTGATGTATTTGTTGTTGTTGCTGTTGAACTGCTGGCATATGTTGATAATATTGTTGCTGTTGTTGTAAATGATGTTGTTGTTGTTGCTGCTGCTGTTGTAATTGTTGTTCAGCTGACAAAGAACCATAAATACCATTAACGGGATCAATATCGGCTACCGAACCAATACGTTTTGGATAAGAATTATTAACTGAATACAGCAAAATAAAGAAAAACGTCAAATAAAAAGCGAACATAAATAAATTGAGAAAATTAAATAAAATTAGAGAAGCTGTTTAAAATAAATACAATACACTCGGTTTGACCAGATAAGACTGAAGAAATAACCTAAGCATACAAAATCGTGACTTTTTGTCAAAAATGTTAATCTATTTGGAGGAATTTAAAAGATATCAATAATACAAAATAATATTATTGTCCCACTTTGGTCGCAATTGAATACTGTGCCTGCAATGATTTGGATATTTCATCAATAAAAAACAAATTATGTAATATGTTTAGTACCTAAATCTTGAAATACAGTAATTTTCAATTTAAATTAAAATAATTAAATTAATTAGAACAAAATTGATTAAGCAAATGCATACAATTAAACAAATTATACAAAAAAGCTTCAAAACACAGCTACACATAAAGCGAAGTAGTGATGGAATAATATGCTTAGTGGTAAAATAAATAATTCAAGCTGATTTATGTTTAATTCTATGTTTACTCAAAATAATGTTTAAATCCATAGAGTTAATTTTTCTTCAACGAAAATATTATAAAGTTTTGTAAAAATTATTTAAAGAAATCCAAAACTGTTTTGGGTAATATGTATAAAGGGATTTTAAATTATTACTAAATCAACTTTATAATCGAGAGGAATATTAATATTATATAAATATAATTATGCCAATATTCATGATCAATTTCATACTGTCTGATTTCATGATGTCAAATGAATTTGCCAAGCAAAAAACATCGGAAGAATACCAGTTGAGTAACAGACAGACATTTTGTATAAAAAATAATTGAAAATTAATCAATAAGAAATTTTAAATCAAAAGATATTTCTGTTCTAGTTTTGTACTAGTTCACTTTTCTAGTTCTGTTCTACTTCTGTTCTAGTTCTGTTCTAGTTCTGTTCTAGTTCTGTTCTAGTTCTGTTCTAGTTCTGTTCTAGTTCTGTTCTAGTTCTGTTCTAGTTCTGTTCTAGTTCTGTTCTAGTTCTGTTCTAGTTCTGTTCTAGTTCTGTTCTAGTTCTGTTCTAGTTCTGTTCTAGTTCTGTTCTAGTTCTGTTCTAGTTCTGTTCTAGTTCTGTTCTAGTTCTGTTCTAGTTCTGTTCTGTTCTAGTTCTGTTCTAGTTCTGTTCTAGTTCTGTTCTAGTTCTGTTCTAGTTCTGTTCTAGTTCTGTTCTAGTTCTGTTCTGTTCTAGTTCTGTTCTAGTTCTGTTCTAGTTCTGTTCTAGTTCTGTTCTAGTTCTGTTCTAGTTCTGTTCTGTTCTAGTTCTGTTCTAGTTCTGTTCTAGTTCTGTTCTAGTTCTGTTCTGTTCTAGTTCTGTTCTAGTTCTGTTCTAGTTCTGTTCTGTTCTTTCTGTTCTAGTTCTGTTCTAGTTCTGTTCTAGTTCTGTTCTAGTTCTGTTCTAGTTCTGTTCTAGTTCTGTTCTAGTTCTGTTCTAGTTCTGTTCTAGTTCTGTTCTAGTTCTGTTCTAGTTCTGTTCTAGTTCTGTTCTAGTTCTGTTCTAGTTCTGTTCTGTTCTAGTTCTGTTCTAGTTCTGTTCTAGTTCTGTCTAGTTCTGTTCTAGTTCTGTTCTAGTTCTGTTCTAGTTCTGTTCTGTTCTAGTTCTGTTCTAGTTCTGTTCTAGTTCTGTTCTAGTTCTGTTCTAGTTCTGTTCTAGTTCTGTTCTAGTTCTGTTCTAGTTCTGTTCTAGTTCTGTTCTAGTTCTGTTCTAGTTCTGTTCTAGTTCTGTTCTAGTTCTGTTCTGTTCTAGTTCTGTTCTAGTTCTGTTCTAGTTCTGTTCTAGTTCTGTTCTAGTTCTGTTCTAGTTCTCTCTAGTTCTGTTCTAGTTCTGTTCTAGTTTTAGTTCTGTTCTAGTTCTGTTTTAGTTTTGTTTTAGTTTTGTTTTAGTTTTGTTCTAGCTTTGTTCTAGCTTTGTTCTAGTTCTGTTCTAGTTCTGTTCTAGTTCTGTTCTAGTTCTGTTCTAGTTCTGTTCTATTTCTGTTCTAGTTCTGTTCTAGTTCTGCTCTAGTTCTGTTCTAGTTCTGTTCTAGTTCTGTTCTAGTTCTGTTCTAGTTCTGTTCTAGTTCTGTTCTAGTTCTGTTCTAATTCTGTTCTAGTTCTGTTCTAGTTCTGTTCTAGTTCTGTTCTAGTTCTGTTTTAGTTCTGTTATAGTTCTGTTCTAGTTCTGTTCTAGTTCTGTTCTAGTTCTGTTCTAGTTCTGTTCTAGTTCTGTTCTAGTTCTGTTCTAGTTCTGTTTCTAGTTCTGTTCTAGTTCTGTTCTAGTTCTGTTCTAGTTCTGTTCTAGTCGTTCTAGTTCTGTTCTAGTTCTGTTCTAGTTTCTGTTCTAGTTCTGTTCTAGTTCTGTTCTAGTTCTGTTCTAGTTGTTCTAGTTCTGTTCTAGTCTTTCTAGTTCTGTTCTAGTTCTGTTCTAGTTCTGTTCTAGTTCTAGTTCTGTTCTAGTTCTGTTCTAGTTCTGTTCTAGTTCTGTTATAGTTCTGTTCTAGTTCTGTTCTAGTTTTGTTCTAGTTCTGTTCTAGTCTGTTCTAGTTCTGTTCTAGTTCTGTTTTAGTTCTGTTCTAGTTCTGTTCTAGTTCTGTTCTATTTCTGTTCTAGTTCTGTTCTGTTTCTTTGTTTCACAACTTTCCAAAACAAAAAAAAACTATTTTCAAATTTTACACGACTTTAGCGTTTTAAAAATCATTAACTACAACTAACCTACTCACCCATTACCACGACTATCGGAACTATAGATCAGGGTAGTACTTTGTCTATTTGGATTCGGTAAATTACGTGGACCATCGGATAGAGGATCATAGTCAGCTATTTTACCAATGCTACCGTTGATGACAACACCATTGCTATTGGCATGATGATGATGGTGATGTGATGTCTGTTGGACACCACCGTTATTTAGTGAACCTCCACCACCACCACCAGCAGCACTAGCGGACGAGGCAATGAATTTTGGCCAGATGATGAGGATGGTGTTGGCAAATTAGTTGCTGATGGATAATTATTGTAATTAGTGTTGGAAAATAATTGTTGAGTAGCAGAAGCATTATTGCCGGGATTAGTGGATCCGGGGGAAGTGTAGGAGGAGGCGGAAGAGGTTTGTTGTTGATGGTGGGTGGCAATTGGAGCACCGTTATTGTTTTGTAGTGTAGCAGTGTTGTTGATGTTATTGTTAATGTGATGTTGTTGTTGGTGTTGTTGATACAATTGAGAGTGTGTTGGTGGTTGTTGTTGTGATGTTGGTGGCGCTTGTGGTCTGGAATAGTTTTTATTGTCATACTGATCGTAAGAATATGAAGAGGGAGTGGAGGAAGAGGTTGGTGTGGAAGATTGGGAGGAATCGGCCTGTAGGCCACCAGTTGGATGATGGGAACTTTGTAATATAGCTGAGCGCAATTGATTATATGTATTACTAGGTTGTTGATATTGCTGTTGTTGCAACTGATGTTGCTGTTGCTGATGCTGCTGTTGTTGTTGATGCTGCTGTTGCACATTGGTTGCTGTCGAAGTAGAAGATGGATATAAATGAGAAGTTTGTTTTATTCCTTGTTGTTGTTGAAGTGCATTTGCTGTTGTTGTTGCTGTTGTTGTGGGGTTAATTGACGCAATGTTTGTGGTTGTTGGTAGTGTTGATATTGTTGTTGCTGTTCATGTTGTATAAATTGTTGTTGCTGTTGTTGCTGTAGTGGTGTAGCATATTGATGTTGATGGTGTAATTGTTGTTGTTGTTGTGCTAGTGTTTGTGATGTTTTGCTGTTGTTGTCTACTACTGTTATTGTGTTGTTGGTAGACTTGTGTGGTACCAGCCTGATTGCTGGGCACAATATGAGCAGTATTGTGTTGTTGATGGTGTATGGGTGGTGGTGGCATTGCCTGTTGTTGTGTTGCATAGTGGTATTGTTGCTGCTGTTGTTGTTGTTGCTGTTGCATTGGCAAACGTGGGGACAATTGTTGTGGTGGCAATGGTGAATGGGGTGTTTGTATTTGGGGTGCGTATTGTGCGAATTGTTCAGCTGCCAATTGTTCTGAGAAATATTCCGATTCATCTATTAAAATTTTGTTCAATAGCGGTTTTTGTTTACGTTATTATGTGTGGTGAGTATATTTTTGTTGATTTTCCAATGAGGTTGTTGACATTGATAATTTTCCATTTCAATTTTTTTTCACCATCATGCACACACGTGTGTTGAAAAAAAATATTTGCAATTCGTATTGGATTGGTGAAATGATGATATGAATTGTGGTTGTGTGTGTGTGGTGGTCAATTAAAATGTGGTGAATTGTAATTTTTTATGTGTTTATGGTAAAGTTGAGTTTATTATTTCACAAAACAAGCAACATACAGGATGACACAAAAAACATAAAATTAAAATGGGGGGAAAAATATGAAAATAAAAGGAAATTATAATTAATTGTTAAAAATAATTTAAAAATAAAATACATATAATAAAAAAATCATCAATAACTTAAAACTAAAAGAACAGTATTTCCTTAAAAGCGGCTCTTCCGTTTTAGCTCTAAATGAATTGAGAACAAATAACTTATTTAGTTTTAATTCAATTCAACTTCTTTAGTTATTATTTAATTCTATTGGTTCCAGGACATTTTTATTTCACGTTCTTGTTCATTTACCAGTTTCAGTTCAATTCAATTTCAGTTCAAATACATATCTTTATGGTTATATTCTAAATCGTCTCTATTTTCATTTCTAGTTGAGTCAATTTGCTATAGTTCAGTTCTAGTTCAGTTCCCGTTCAGTTGCAGTTCAGTTCTAGCTCAATTCTAATTCATTTCTTGTTCAGTTCTAGTTCAGTTCGAGTTCAGTTCTAGTTCAGTTCTAGTTCAGTTCTAGTTCAGTTCTAGTTTAGTTCTAGTTCAGTTCTACTTTAGTTCTAATTCTGTTCTACTTCATTTCTTGTTCAGTTCTAATTCAGCTAAGTTTTACTTCATTTCTTGTTCAGTTCTAGTTCTGTTCTAATTCAGTTCTAGTTCAGTTCTAGTTCAGTTCTAATTCAGTTCTAATTCAGTTCTAATTCAGTTCTAGTTCAGTTCTAGTTCAGTTCTAGTTCAGTTCTACTTAAGTTCTAGTTCAGTTCTAGTTCAGTTCTAGTTCAGTTCTAGTTCAGTTTCTAGTTCAGTTCTAGTTCAGTTCTAGTTCAGTTCTAGTTCAGTTCTAGTTCAGTTCTAGTTCAGTTCTAGTTCAGTTCTAGTTCAGTTCTAGTTCAGTTCTAGTTCAGTTCTAGTTCAGTTCTAGTTCAGTTCTAGTTCAGTTCCAGTTCAGTTCTAGTTCAGTTCTAGTTTAGTTCTAGTTCAGTTCTAGTTCAGTTCTAGTTTAGTTCTAGTTCAGTTCTAGTTCTGTTCTAATTCAGTTCTAGTTCAGTTCTAGTTCAGTTCTAGTTCAGTTCTAGTTCAGTTCTAGTTCAGTTCTAGTTCAGTTCTAGTTCAGTTCTAGTTCAGTTCTAGTTCAGTTCTAGTTCAGTTCTAGTTCAGTTCTAGTTCAGTTCTAGTTCAGTTCTAGTTCAGTTCTAGTTCAGTTCTAGTTCAGTTCTAGTTCAGTTCTAGTTCAGTTCTAGTTCAGTTCTAGTTCAGTTCTAGTTCAGTTCTAGTTCAGTTCTAGTTCAGTTCTAGTTCAGTTCTAGTTCAGTTCTAGTTCAGTTCTAGTTCAGTTCTAGTTCAGTTCTAGTTCAGTTCTAGTTCAGTTCTAGTTCAGTTCTAGTTCAGTTCTAGTTCAGTTCTAGTTCAGTTCTAGTTCAGTTCTAGTTCAGTTCTAGTTCAGTTCTAGTTCAGTTCTAGTTCAGTTTAGTTCAGTTCTAGTTCAGTTCTAGTTCACAGTTCTAGTTCAGTTCTAGTTCAGTTCTAGTTCAGTTCTAGTTCAGTTCTAGTTCAGTTCTAGTTCAGTTCTAGTTCAGTTCTAGTTCAGTTCTAGTTCAGTTCTAGTTCAGTTCTATTTAGTTCTAGTTCTTCTAGTTCAGTTCTAGTTCAGTTTCTAGTTCAGTTCTAGTGCAGTTCTAGTTCAGTTCTAGTTCAGTTCTAGTTCAGTTCTAGTTCAGTTCTAGTTCAGTTCTAGTTCAGTTCTAGTTCAGTTCTAGTTCAGTTCTAGTTCAGTTCTAGTTCAGTTCTAGTTCAGTTCTAGTTCAGTTCTAGTTCAGTTCTAGTTCAGTTCTAGTTCAGTTCTAGTTCAGTTCTAGTTCAGTTCTAGTTCAGTTCTAGTTCAGTTTCTAGTTCAGTTCTAGTTCAGTTCTAGTTCAGTTCTAGTTCAGTTCTAGTTCAGTTCTAGTTCAGTTCTAGTTCAGTTCTAGTTCAGTTCTAGTTCAGTTCTAGTTCAGTTCTAGTTCAGTTCTAGTTCAGTTCTAGTTCAGTTCTAGTTCAGTTCTAGTTCAGTTCTAGTTCAGTTCTAGTTCAGTTCTAGTTCAGTTCTAGTTCAGTTCTAGTTCAGTTCTAGTTCAGTTCTAGTTCAGTTCTAGTTCAGTTCTAGTTCAGTTCTAGTTCAGTTCTAGTTCAGTTTCAGTTCTAGTTCAGTTCCAGTTCAGTTCAGTTCTAGTTCAGTTCTAGTTCAGTTCCAGTTCAGTTCTAGTTCAGTTCTAGTTTAGTTCTAGTTCAGTTCTAGTTCAGTTCTAGTTCAGTTCTAGTTCAGTTCTAGTTCAGTTCTAGTTCAGTTCTAGTTCAGTTCTAGTTCAGTTCTAGTTCAGTTCTAGTTCAGTTCTAGTTCAGTTCTAGTTCAGTTCTAGTTCAGTTCTAGTTCAGTTCTAGTTCAGTTCTAGTTCAGTTCTAGTTCAGTTCTAGTTCAGTTCTAGTTCAGTTCTAGTTCAGTTCTAGTTCAGTTCTAGTTCAGTTCTAGTTCAGTTCTAGTTCAGTTCTAGTTCAGTTCTAGTTCAGTTCTAGTTCAGTTCTAGTTCAGTTCTAGTTCAGTTCTAGTTCAGTTCTAGTTCAGTTCTAGTTCAGTTCTAGTTCAGTTCTAGTTCAGTTCTAGTTCAGTTCTAGTTCAGTTCTAGTTCAGTTCTAGTTCAGTTTCTAGTTCAGTTCTAGTTCAGTTCTAGTTCAGTTCTAGTTCAGTTCTAGTTCAGTTCTAGTTCAGTTCTAGTTCAGTTCTAGTTCAGTTCTAGTTCGTTCTAGTTCAGTTCTAGTTCAGTTCTAGTTCAGTTCTAGTTCAGTTCTAGTTCAGTTCTAGTTTAGTTCTAGTTTAGTCCTAGTTCAGTTCTACTTTAGTTCTAATTCAGTTCTTGTTCAGTTCTAGTTCAGTTCTAGTTCAGTTCTAATTCAGCTAAGTTCTACTTCATTTCTTGTTCAGTTCTAGTTCTGTTCTAATTCAGTTCTAGTTCAGTTCTAGTTCAGTTCTAGTTCAGTTCTAGTTCAGTTCTAGTTCAGTTCTAGTTCAGTTCTAGTTCAGTTCTAGTTCAGTTCTAGTTCAGTTCTAGTTCAGTTCTAGTTCTTCAGTTCTAGTTCAGTTCTAGTTCAGTTCTAGTTCAGTTCTAGTTCAGTTCTAGTTCAGTTCTAGTTCAGTTCTAGTTCAGTTCTAGTTCAGTTCTAGTTCAGTTCTAGTTCAGTTCTAGTTCAGTTCTAGTTCAGTTCTAGTTCAGTTCTAGTTCAGTTCTAGTTCAGTTCTAGTTCAGTTCTAGTTCAGTTCTAGTTCAGTTCTAGTTCAGTTCTAGTTCAGTTCTAGTTCAGTTCTAGTTCAGTTCTAGTTCAGTTCTAGTTCAGTTCTAGTTCAGTTCTAGTTCAGTTCTAGTTCAGTTAGCAGTTCAGTACAGTTCTGTTCAGTTCTAGTCAGTTTCTAGTTCAGTTCTAGTTCAGTTCTAGTTCAGTTCTAGTTCAGTTTCTAGTTCAGTTTAGTTCAGTTCAGTTCTAGTTCAGTTCTAGTTCAGTTCTAGTTCCGTCTAAAATAGTTTCTGTATTAGTTTTGCTTCATTTTAAGTTCTGCCTGTATTTATTGATTTTTTTTATTGGGTTTTACCACGTGAAATTCTCCAGGCAGTTTAATACACAAGCACAGTTGTCATTATATGATTGATAATAAATATTATCTCAATTTAAAGGATATTATACAATCTGCGGATATTGACATTCACATATCAATTCAGTTTCGACAACGCTATCTAGTAAACTGTAGATTACACTAAATTAACTAATTTAATTAATGAACATTTAAAAGCACAATTAGGAAATGATTTAGCTGGAAAACAAATAACAATTAAGTTAACAAAACTATCTATTGAAAATGAAATTTATTAAATGAAAATCAAATGAAATTCACACGCGAATTATTGACGTAATCAAAAATCATGCTCACACCGATTTATGTTTGAGTGAAATAATTAAATTAATTTGTTGAAATATATAAGACACATTTGGACTCTCGTGCATGCAAAATAAAACATACAATTTATATCATGCATTAAGAATTTTAGAATGTTAGAAGAATAAACAGACAAAAAGTACATCCGTATGAACATATATATGTACGTCTTTAGTTGCTTGTTTATCTGGAACATTATAAATATATTTTTTTTAATGATTTTCTCTTAATACCCACCTTTTAAATTGTCAGAGGCTTCGGCGGCACCGCGTTGTTTTTCCATGGCAGCTTTTTTCTCCAAATCACCATGATAGGCCACATTTGATATGATTTTTGTATTTTGTTTAATACGCAACGTTTCAGGATCATCGGCGACCTGTCATCAATGTTCCATAAGAGGGATAAGGAGAAGTAAGTGTAAAAGACAGATAAACATGAGGTGGAATTATTAAATGAGTTAAACGAAAATATAATAAAAAAGAGGTTAGAAATGTAAACTAAAATAAACTAAAACTAAATGGTAAATCTTGGCCTCAAGCTAAGTGGGCAAACATCACTTCTTCTCACTCCATTTAAGCGAATGTGGAATGGAATGAAATTAAACCATATGATACCGGTGATGGTAGAGGTAGAGGCCAAAGTAACGCAATATTTTGATTTTTTTTACGATTTTTGTTTTACTATGAACACGTTAACGCCTTTTTTACGGTGTTTTATTCCATCGAATACATTCGAATTGTTTGTTACAAAATTTAAAGTTACTTAAGAACAAAAACTACTTGCAACATTACATACATATATGTACAACAAACTATCGTTGCTGTTGTTGTGACTGACCTGGGTAAATTTGCCTTTAGCCTTTTCAAAATCTTCATGATACTTACATTCGATTGGATTTTTGTATTTTCCGCTATTCTTTTTAATTCGGGCGTATCTGCAATAGCTGTAGCTTTGGCCTTTGGAATGTGCCTGAAAATAGATATGAAAAAAAATAGACAAAATATTTTAATACCAAGGAATTTATAATAAACTATATATTTTTAGAATACTGTTATAAAAGTTTAAATGGAAATTATACTAAAACTAAACTAGAACAGAACTAGAATCAAAATAGTACAGAACAGAACAGAACTAGAACAGAACTAGAACATAATTAGAACAGAACTAGAACAGAACTAGAACAGAACTAGAACAGAACTAGAACAGAACTAGAACTAGAACAGAACTAGAACAGAACTAGAACAAAACTAGAACAGAACTATAACAGAACTGGAACAGAACTAGAACAGAACTAGAACAGAACTAGAACAGAACTAGAACAGAACTAGAACAGAACTAGAACAGAACTAGAACAGAACTAGAACAGAACTAGAACAGAACTAGAACAGAACTAGAACAGAACTAGAACTGAACTAGAACTGAACTAGAACTGAACAGAACTAGAACAGAACTAGAACTAGAACAGAACTAGAACAGAACTAGAACAGAACTAGAACAGAACTAGAACAGAACTAGAACAGAACTAGAACAGAACTAGAACAGAACTAGAACAGAACTAGAACAGAACTAGAACAGAACTAGAACAGAACTAGAACAGAACTAGAACAGAACTAGAACAGAACTAGAAACAGAACTAGAACTAGAACAGAACTAGAACTAGAACAGAACTAGAACAGAACTAGAACAGAACTAGAACAGAACTAGAACAGAACTAGAACAGAACTAGAACAGAACTAGAACAGAACTAGAACAGAACTAGAACAGAACTAGAACAGAACTAGAACAGAACTAGAACAGAACTAGAACAGAACTAGAACAGAACTAGAACAGAACTAGAACAGAACTAGAACAGATCCAGAACTGAACTAGAACAGAACTAGAACAGAACTAGAACAGAACTAGAACTGAACTAGAACTGAACTAGAACAGAACTAGAACAGAACTAGAACAGAACTAGAGCAGAACTAGAACAGAACTAGAACAGAACTAGAACAGAACTAGAACAGAACTAGAACAGAACTAGAACAGAACTAGAACTGAACTAGAACTGAACTAGAACTGAACTAGAACTGAACTAGAACTGAACTAGAACTGAACTAGAACTGAACTAGAACTGAACTAAAACTGAACTAGAACTGAACTAGAACTGAACTAGAACTGAACTAAAACTGAACTAGAACTGAACTAGAACTGAACTAGAACTGAACTAGAACTGAACTAGAACTGAACTAGAACTGAACTAGAACTGAACTAGAACTGAACTAGAACTGAACTAGAACTGAACTAGAACTGAACTAGAACTGAACTAGAATTGAACTAGAACTGAACTAGAACTGAACTAAAACTGAACTAGAACTGAACTAGAACTGAACTAGAACTGAACTAGATCTGAACTAGAACTGAACTAGATCTGAACTAGAACTGAACTAGAACTGAACTAGAACTGAACTAGAACTGAACTAGATCTGAACTAGATCTGAACTAGAACTGAACTAGAACTGTACTAGAACTGTACTAGAACTGAACTAGAACTGAACTAGAACTGAACTAGAACTGAACTAGAACTGAACTAGAACTGAACTAGAACTGAACTAGAATTGAACTAGAACTGAACTAGAACTAGACTAGAACTGAACTAGAATTGAACTAGAACTGAACTAGAACTGAACTAGAACTGAACTAAAACTGAACTAGAACTGAACTAGAACTGAACTAGAACTGAACTAAAACTGAACTAGAACTGAACTAGAACTAGAACTGAACTAGAACTGAAAAGATGCTAAGCCGAACATATGGCAAATTTATTCCAGTTGGCATTACTGGTTTTCTCTTTAATTCATTCTAACATTTTGTCAGCACTTTCGATTGCTTCATCACAGTTTTTTCTGTCCAACATTGAACTATTTTTGTGTGTAAACAATTTCAAATCAATTTTAATTTGGAACATTTAGAATCAAAAAAGCTTTAATTGTAGAGACACTCCTTTTTTTTAACAAAAAAAAAAAAAAATAAAAAAAACGTATGGCAAATTTCATTGTGCTGGATAAAAAAAAACTATAAATTTGAATTCAGCAAAAAGAATTACACAATATTTGTTAATTAAATTTAAAAACTAAACGATTTTTTTTGCGATTTTATTAAACAAACATTTGTTGTTATTTTATTTCTCTACTTCATTAGCAGCAACCATTTTAAAGCGGAAAGTGTGATGATGTTGGTGATACAAACCAAATACAGCTAATAGTATTCATACAATCTGATCAGATCTAACTGTATAGATATCAGCAGTCAAACATCTTGTATAATTGAACATGATGATGTCAACAAATTAAAACGGTTTTTCTGTTTTATTTAGAGTATAACAAATTCACTTTTTTTTTTTCTTAAGCACATTTTAATTTTTATGATACATTTTATTCTAGTTTCTATTTGTAGATTTTTTTCCTATCATTCGAATAGTTTATGTTCTATTTATTTTTGTGGCAATTATTTAAAGTACAAGTTGTCTGTAGTTTGATTTATAATAATTTTTAAAACTTTTTTTCTTTATTATTAAAACTATTTTTTTTTTGTTGTGCTGGATATGAGATAATGTGGCTGACTTTTGTTGGTTTGGCAATTGCAGAAATATTTATATACATATGTATGTATGTACGAACATACATATTTATTTTTAATCTTCTAAATTTATATGTAAATGAAAGTAAAACTAGACATAAAAATAGATTTCGTTGTACATAAATGTATAAAATACAAATAGATATTGTAGATGTTACAATTGCAACTATATCCAGGTTCCATTTTATTTGGTTCAATGGGTTTTTATGTTAATTTGTGAACACGAGTACTTGGTATATATTCCACAATAGCTGTTTATTAAAATAACAGAACAAAAAAACTTGGCAAATGAGCTGCTACAATTATCTACTTAAAATATTTCTGTGACAATGTCATATAATATGTTAAGTCAACATAAGTAAGTTTTTTTTAACTGAAACTAAACTGAAAAAAAACTGAAACTGAACTGAAACTGAACTGAGACTGAACTGAAACTGAACTGAAACTGAACTGAAACTGAACTGAAACTGAACTGAAACTGAACTGAAACTGAACTGAAACTGAACTGAAACTGAACTGAAACTGAACTGAACTGAACTGAAACTGAACTGAAACTGAACTGAAACTGAACTGAAACTGAACTGAAACTGAACTGAAACTGAACTGAAACTGAACTGAAACTGAACTGAAACTGAACTGAAACTGAACTGAAACTGAACTGAAACTGAACTGAAACTGAACTGAAACTGAACTGAAACTGAACTGAAACTGAACTGAAACTGAACTGAAACTGAACTGAAACTGAACTGAAACTGAACTGAACTGAACTGAAGCTGAAACTGAACTGAAACTGAAACTGAAACTGAACTGAAACTGAAACTGAACTGAACTGAAACTGAAACTGAAACTGAACGAACTGAACTGAACTGAAACTGAACTGAAACTGAACTGAAAACTGAACGAAACTGAACGAAACTGAACTGAAACTGAACTGAAAACTGAAACTGAACTGAAACTGAACTGAAAACTGAACTGAAACTGAACTGAAACTGAACTGAAACTGAACTGAAACTGAACTGAAACTGAAACTGAACTGAAACTGAACTGAAACTGAACTGAAACTGAACTGAAACCTGAACTGAAACTGAACTGAAACGAAACTGAAACTGAACTGAACTGAAACTGAACTGAAACTGAACTGAAACTGAAACTGAAACTGAACTGAAACTGAACTGAAACTGAAACTGAACTGAAACTGAACTGAACTGAAACTGAAACTGAACTGAACTGAACTGAAACTGAACTGAAACTGAACTGAAACTGAACTGAAACTGAACTGAAACTTGAACTGAAACTGAACTGAAGAACTGAACTGAAATGAAACTGAACTGAACTGAACTGAAACTGAAACTGACTGAAACTGAACTGAACTGAACTGAACTGAACTGAAGAACTGAAACTGAAACTGAACTGAAACTGAACTGAAACTGAACTGAAACTGAACTGAAACTGAACTGAAACTGAACTGAAACTGAACTGAAACTGAGACTGAACTGAACTGAACTGAACCGAACCGAACCGAAACTGAACTTTTCATGTTTTAATTAATATTTAAATAATTTTTCCACATCATTTTGTTCATCTTTCGCGCTTATTGTTTTATATTTTTGTATTGTTATATTTTTGTTATTGTTCTCAATTACAAATTATAATTAACTGGGGAAATGATGGCAACATGAGAATTACATGTCAATTATTTTAATTGACAGTGTAAAAATTAAAAAAATATATTTAAATTAAAAAGATACAAAAAAAAATATAACCTCATTTAACCCTTGAAAATCAATAATATAATTAAAATACAATATTTTATTATTATTTTTCTCTATAATATTATAGTAGCCAGGGATGGTAAATTAAATGATATCAGCGATGATAAATTAAACTTTAAAACTAACAGAAAATATATTTTACCACTAAACATGGATGAAGCATTTTGCAATGCAAGTCATCCAATTTCGTCCATAAATAATAAAAATCATAGGTTGTACAACTATATCCTCTGATTTTTTTACTATTTTAATACTATAACATACAAATTTGCGCAAATTAAGTTAAATATTTCTATATGAGACAACACTGTTTGCATACCCATGTTATTTATTGTTTGCTTTGGTTTTTACTCTTTTGCTCAGAAATTGGCTTGTTATCTTTCGATTAAAATCGTGTTATTGTTTAACAAACAATAACAAAAACAGTATTGTTGGTAAATGCGAAATCTCCCCTCAATCCCCATTTACTGAACCATCTACCAACAACTGGCACATTTTCTACATGTACATACTATGTACTTATGTTTCGTATGCAAAAAAAGTGTTGCTGTTGAATTGGAGCAACACTTTCTCATTATT